TTATAAATGTCATCGCCGATACTTTATAGTGCCTGTTACAGTTTATTTCTTTCCTTTCTTTTCCTTCCTTCCTTCCATCCCTGTCGATGGGTCACCGTTACTAGTATTCGAGCACCGTGTTTCAGTCTAGTATATTGGAGTGTGCTATTATAGGCTGTACAGAAATAGAGGTGGAGTTGGGGATTTAACTCCCACATATTAATTTTCCTGAATTTAAAAAGGTAGTTCTTTCATTAAAGCAAATTAAATTAAATACTACATATCTAGATTGCAACTTGTAACCCTTATATAGTGGTTGTAATTTATATATTTCATTAATTTGGGTTTCAATAAAATTGAAAACACTGGTTACCAATGACATTTTAGCAACTCTAATATAGACAGCAGATTACTCCCTGAAAATATTACATATTTACGTCTATGACCTTTGATGACTAGCACATTTGTTTCTTTCAACTATTAAGAAAAAAATAGAAATACTAAGGTTACTTCACATGAAAAACAAAGTATACATTTAGTATATAGGGTACACTTTGCCATCTTTTGTTCGTTGGTCGCTTCAACCTGATTGGCCCTTACAAACAAGATAGCTAAAGGCATGTATGACTTCTGATGTTTGGTACAGTTATTTGCTTTGATCATTAACCATTCTGGGAATCCACAAACATTGCCTTGGGAACAAAAAAAAAAAAAATCCTTCTCTGGGGGATTCACCCTCCAAGCTGTATCTTCTCGCTATATTTAGAATACACCACTAATGACCTTAGATGTTGACACAGCAGAAATTTTTCAATGACATTCTTCTCATACTGTGATACAATCAGTGCATAACTAGCAGATAATCATTTAAATGCTTTCAAAAGTTTGCATTGGACCTTTAACACCCTGAAGTCTTTCGAGAAACTTAATGTACCAAGCTACCATAGACGTTCACATACTAGATGGAAAATATTTTTTTTGACTTGCAAGCAATAATAACAGCATTTGCCAAAATAGCTGTTGAAACTGAGTTTTATTCCAAATTGTTACATTTTGGTGTTAATGGTCATTAATGTGCTGCTTAATGCAGATCTTGGAATCATCAGTTTTCTTAGGATACAGCAATCCTTAATTTGATGGGGAAAATGAAAACTCAAAGGCTTCTTGTAAATAAGACATTGTAAATTTATTCACAATTACACAATTTACAGTGACCATTACGCAGCATTGAATAAATTCATCTGAAATATACTTCTGAAATATATATTTGACGTGCTAGGATAGTAATGTTAACCAGGATCCGAGTAACCGCTTCCACGTTATGGTGGTGCGGGCGCGGTGGCGTGCATGAGTGGGGTGCAGGCGGGCTTACCTGCGGGGGCAGCTGGGGTGAGTGGCCACCAACACTGGGAGACGAGACAAGTTGGCAGCCCACGGGCAGCCCCCGGGGTGTGCGGAGCCCCTGCACCTCCAAAAGCGGCACCTCGACCCAAGGGGGACAGCCGACCATGGGGCCTGACGCATGCCAGGCCGCAGCCCCCGGGGAGGGGGTCGGAAAGGAGGACGACTGGCCCCGCACCCACACCACTCCTGCAGCTGATCTTGTTGCTTCACTGTTAAACCAGAGGTATGCCTACACTTTAGCCATGATACAAAGCAATACACAGAGCTGGTATACATTAACTAAACACATTCAATTACATAAAATCAGGTATTCTAATTTTCTGTAACACTTTTTTAATAGGTTATAACTACACGGGAGGATTGTGACGATAGAAGGATCAAGCTGGGGGGGCAAGTTCCGAGCAGAATTTCCCTCCCGCCTGAGTTGGCTACCAGTTTGGGCTTGGTCTCTACGGGTGGGACGTCGCAGGGGGTTATCAGCCAAGGAGGCCATTAACATTACCTGCTAACCAGAAAGGGCTTGGGGACTCGGGGAGGGGCTTCACGGCAGGGTTTCTCGGGGGCCGGGGAGGGACAGAGGGAGGGGGGGAGGGGTACCAGGAGGAGGGGCAGTTGGGAATAGAGTGGGCAGAGCTAGAAGGGGCAGCATGGCAGGGAGACAGCCATGGGATGCCAGCAGAGGCAACGTGGCATGGAGAGCAGGCCAGGAGAACGGGATCCCTAGGAAGGGGTGGAGCTCAAAGGGAGGAGGGGCAGGTGGAGGTGGTGGGAGGGGGGATGCTCCCTGGAGACTATTTGGGACTGAAGCGCAGCTAAACCAATCTGGTGTTCTAGGCGCACTACACAAGCCTCTAACATAAAACACAAGCTGGTGTTTATGCCCTGGGGGCAGACTAAACAAGGGATTTGTACAGGCAAAGTAGAGGGACCACAGCGGTAGCCACCTAACTAAGGTGCGTGGTAAACGATGTTGACGTGGTTGTGGGTAACCCATCAGGCCTCAGAACCACAATCCAATATTACCACGGCTATCATGTTGCGGAATGGCTGGCGGTTCGGGAGGGGCCATGGGCTCCAGGGAGCACGGGGGGCCCTGGCTCCCTCCCCCAGCCACCAACTAGACTGACCACAGTGACTCACGGCACCAACCCTGCGACAACACCACCACCCGGTGCCGTCCAACACCACCGCCCAAACTCACACAATTGGTGCGTCAAACTCACCGCTACACCTATGCTCTCAGCCTAGGGTACAATATTGGCACTTTTCAAGTAAACTTCTTTTTCCCACAAAGTTGTTCAGACATCCTCATCCTACACAGGAAAACATGAAAATAGACAAGGAAATTAAAGGATTAAAATAAGAAGATACATGAAAAAAAGAAAAAAAAAAAACTTTCACTTGTCACCATTTGACAGATGTATATTACTCATTTTCATTTCCATAACTCCTACATTCAGCACAGCAAAGACAGCCTCCTTCGCTGCCATCCGCCAATGCACTGCTGGCCAATACAGCGTGCACATCGCGTGGAGGATTGAGAGCCCAAGCCACAGCCGCTGTTCCTGCCTGGATGCCTGAGTAAGGCAACCGAGGCACACAATGACCAGTTGAGCTCCCACTACTCACTGCAAGGGGAGGGGGGGTTCATTCACGCCCTCCGTATGCCAGCACCTCTCACCTTCCTGCCGCCCAACGCAATGCAGACCAAAATACAACATTGGTAATATGACTGAAAAAAAACATCCATTGGAGTAATAACAATGATAAAGAACAGACAAACCAAAAGACCAAATAAAACAAATAATCAGAAAGTTAGCGTGAAACGGCCGCTCCCTCCCAAGTTTGGTTGAGATCCGAGTGGCGTCACGGCAAGAACTGGAACCGAAGAAAATTGGATGTAAACATGCCTCTTGAGGGTCAGAAGAGAGAGGTGCCAGCAGTTGAAACACAAGTTTTTATTTTTATTATTTTTTTTTTTCTTTTTTTAAAGACTACTCAGTAGTGAAATTTGTAAAGCTTGGGGGAGGGAGAAAAAAAATTTTTGGTTGCAAAAACTGATCCATAACTCAGTTGTTATAGCACAATTTGGTGGGTCTTTAAAAACACATTCACGTCTACACAAAGAATTATCACCAGTCTACTTGGTTGCACTTATTACTTAATAAATTAAAAAAGTACAAAATAAATTCCTTCTAATTGAGATTTCTTCCACAAAAGCAAAGAGTCACAAAAGCAGTTCTCTGGTGTGTTTGACAGATAAAATAAATAGAAACAGATAAAAACTCATAAAATTGCCATGCCTACGACAGACTGACAGGGCGAAGACTTTGAGCTCACTCCACGCCCTCCGACATAAATATAGGCTCACATACCACCAACATAATATATATATATTATATTATATTATTATATTTATATATTTATAAAATTAGCAAAAATATGGACACCAAAAGCATGAGACAGAACATTTTTTTTTTTTTTTTTTTTTTTTAAGGTTTTTTATTTTTTGTGAAACAAGACTTCTAAATCAAGAGAGATTTTTTTTTAATTTTGCACACAATCAATTGACAATACTCCTAACTTTGAAGAGTTGGGCAGTTGCTAAACTGGGAAAGGGGGAGGGGAGGGGGAAGGGGGAGTGGAGGGGAAAAGGGGCACATACAGTAGATCCAAGTGGGCTTTGGGGGTGGGGGTGGGGCAGAGCAGAAAGAGGTATAGTGGGAAGAGGGACGAAGAAAAAGGAATAGGGGACACAGAGAAAGAGAGGGGAAGAGGAGGAGGACTGAAAGGGGGGCTAGGAGTCCAATGTGGCATTGTGGTGGAAACTAGATCATCTGTGGTGGGGGAAAACAAATAATAAACGGCAAAGGTTGTCCGATGATGGGGAGAAGGGAGGGGGTGGGGGAGAGGAAGGGGCAGGGAGCAAAGGTAGAACTGGGGCTGGAGGATGGGGGAGGGGAGGTGGGTGAATATGCTTGACAAGGATACATCACGCGCTAAGTAGTCTACGTTTGGAACAATTCTGTTGTATGTCCATGTAAAAGTATCCCAGTTTCATCATCCAAGGTATCAATATCTATCACGGGGGGAAAAAAAGGGAGAGTTCCGCTAATTGCTCAAAGGAGAGGCCGTAATGTTTCCGAGAGAAAAGTGGGGGGGAAGCGAGTGGGAGGAACTTGACCACGGAGTACTGTGAAGCAGTCAGTACTCCGTGGTTAAGAAGTTGAGAAAGATTTTGAGCTTGAATTTGCATCACAAGAGTGTCCTGTGGAGCAGTGGCTTGGGGCGGCCACTGCGCACATCCAGGAGAGATAGAGCAAGAGAAGATTTATTTCATCAATATGTAGAGATCTTCCATATTTGGGGGTGAAGGGAGTGGGCGAGGGAGGAGGAGGAGGACAAGGGGAAAAAGGAAAGGGGCAAGGGTGGGGGCAGGGGGCATGGGGAGGGGATACCATTGATCTATATCTACAATCACATTGTAGCGTTCATATCTTTTTTTATTTTATTTTTTGTAAGAAAACAAAACGAGGACCTAAACCAAAAACTGGGTTGAGGAAAGTTGATGTTGTGCCACGCTTGAGGCGCAGGAAAAGCTTTCATGCGGAGAGGAGGGGGGAGGAAGTCCTGAGGGAGCGAGAACCATCCTCTGAGGAGACTAGACGGGGAGGGTCACTCCGTCCTCCCGGATCCCCCGCCCCATTCCACCCAGCCTGCCTGCCTCGCTCGCTCGCACGGAGCTATACTGTTGCCGCCCGCAGTACCCACACCTACTGGCCATCACAAAAGTTCATATTGTCTGAGGTGCATCCTTTGTATTATGTCCCTGCAGTCATTGAACACTCGGCGGATGTTTTCCGTGTCCACGGCGCATGTGAAGTGAGGGTAGCAATAATGCTTGCCGTCACCACTTGCCGTGCTTATCCTCTGCAAATGGGTGAGGGGAGAGGTGTTTAAAATCAAGTTCAGATTTTCTTTTTCTCTCTCTCTCTCTCTCTCTATATCTTAGAATTTTATATTATCTTCATTAGTAGTTCAACAAATTACAGAAAAAGATAAAAAGAAGAAAACATTCAATGCATTACCTAAAGCAATTTCCAAACCATTATTCACAACAAAACTCAACTAGGCTCTCAATGCCATGTACATAAAACAAAAACAAAAATCACTCAAATGAACTGAACTAGAATGAACAACTCACTAGAAATTCATCCCTGATGAAGTACTTTGCGCGCACCACCTCTGGATCTTCTCCTGGTTCCACGGTAGCATCGAGTGGGGTCTGATACCGAGCAAAGTCAGGGAAAGAATCTTCTAACCTGCTCCTCCCAGCCCGGATCTTCTCAGCCAGGAGGTCTTGCTTGTTTAGAAACAGGATGATGCTGATTGTGCGTAGCCACCTGGGAGAAGGTCAAAGTATGAGACACCCTCCCTGGGAAGGACTTAGATATATCATGTATTTGTCTAAGTGTGCATGATCTACATGTAAGTCTTTTCAACAAGCTCTTATTAAAATTTGTTGCATGGGCAACCTTTATGTCTGTCATGAGCATATGATAAAAACTATAAAGCATTTACTGGTCAATGCATGCAAATTATTATTATCATTATTATCATTATTATTATTATTATTATTATTATTATTTTTTTTTTACAGACACTCTTTGGAGAACAAAATCTTATCAGTCATATCATCAAAGGATCTGTTGATGTGATGCCACAATTTAACTGGGTCCAGCAGCATTGCTGGTAGAATTTGTTTTAAATAGTTTTCTGAGAGCATTTCTCATTAACACAGCGTAATAACATGCTGAAGTTAGCATGACTGGTTAGGTAAAATGATTCCAAAATAAACAGAAACACCATGTGCAGGCCATATTGAATGAGAGGTGGGATGTTCTAAGGTTTGTCAGTCCTCAGCCCTCACTTTTGCCATGACTTTACATCTTCAGTAATTCTTCCGTAAACCTAACATCATTTTACTCAATACAAATTGTGTTGTACTAATGCATTAGTTGCATTAAGAGTTATATAAATTGAAATATTGTGTTGTCACATCTCAAGCCATACACATTACTAGCTAATGAATATCACCGAAAAAGTCAAATTGAACATTAAATACATCAAACATACAGAAATATTCAACCAATGAAATCAGTAACTGAAACAGAGCAAAGATAAACAGTTTTTTACATAACCATTTTTTTTTCTGAACTCTAATACCATTATCATTATCATTAACAACTTGCATTGTTATTGTTGTTATCATCATTATCATTACCATTAGTCTGATAAATATGACTATGTCATATTTTCAAAATTAGAGAAATATATTACCACTGCCAAATACAATCAAATCATTATTCTAACAAAGAGATGAGAAAAGTGTGCACTGACCCCTAGAAACCTCTGCCCATGTTTTTAATATCAACTGTCTTTGAATTTAAAATCTATAATGAATAAAAATGGGAGAAAAATCGGTAGGAATGTAAACAAAAAATACACTGACTGCCTTACATACTGAATGTCTACAGGAAAAAAAAAGAAAAAGAAAAAGAAAAACGGTATATAAAAAAAGGAAGGTATATAATACGTGTCAAGTTTTCGTGGTATGTGTTTCTGAGAAATCTCTAATAAATTAGTATAAGATCAAATGCAAATGCCCAATAATCCCCTTCTTCCTTAAAAAAACAACTGACATGAAAAATAAACAAAAAATACTAACAAAAATACTAAGAACAAATAGGCTAAAATAAAGAGACCAAACTACTGGTAAATAATGCATCTCCATAACAACAGGCACCACGCCCTTCTCGTCTTCAGCTAAGCCCAAGCCAGTTACCCCCATCAACCCTACAAAAACCAAAATCCACAGGAGCATGCCCTACCTCCAAAGAGCCCAATCCACCAAAGAGAGAGAGGGAAGCCCTTGCCCAAGACCTTACAGAGACAGAACAACTCTTCCCAAGCCAGTCACACCAGCCCCAACACCCTACAATAACCGAGACCCAAGACCCTCGCAAACACGAATAGCCAAGAGACATCCCTCCCTTACCGTAATCAACCCAAGAGGACTCCCCACCCCCATGACCTTCTTGAGAGAGACCGTTCTGTTCCCTCTCCGCCCCACTCTGTACCCAGTACCCAACCCACTCCTACAGTACCCAAGACGTACATGACCAAGATAAACCCAAGTGAGAGAGTGAGAACCAAGAATCTCCTCTGAGAAAGACTAGCTCTTCCAACCATCTCTACCCAAGAACCACTGGACCAAAATAAAACCCGAGTAGGGGAGCGAGAACCACCAAGGACCCCCTCAGAGAGAGGCTAGTTCTTCCTCCTATCTACACCCTAGACCCACCACACCAAGATAAACCTGGGCTTCAGAGTGAGAACCAGGGACCACTTCTGAGGTAGACTAGCTCTCCTATCTTCCACCTAGAGCCACCAGACCAAGATAAACCAGAGTGAGAGATCGTGCCCATCTACACCAAGAACTCCACTCATACAAGACTACTTTCTCCCAACACCCCACACTAATTCTCTCCTCCCTTACCCCTTCCCCTCCCCCTCCTCCTGTCACCCAACAAGAACCACAACAGATCCTTCCTCCACAGATCCTCTCCACCCCTTCCTCATCCTTACCTGTTGTTCCATATACTTTTGAAGAGATCTAACGACTCCCGCAGCCGGTTTTGACTGGGGTCTTCCCGAAGGACCATGTTGTAAGAGGAGCAAGCGGTGACGAAGATGATGGCCGTGACGTCATTGAAACATTGGATCCACTTCCGCCTCTCATCGCGTTGACCGCCCACGTCGAACATACTGTAGGTGGGGGAGTGGGCTTAGTTTTACTGAGAAGAAACTTTATACTAACAATAATGATAATTATAATAATAACAACATTTTGTATAATATATAATAATCATTTTTACTAAAGAAAAGAAAAAAAATTGAGCAGGTACCAATAAAAAAGTGACCAGAAAATATGCACAATGGAAGAAATATACAGTTAAAAGGAAAGAAAAATATATTGTAAATGCAGAAAGAAATAATAAGCAGAAACGTAGAAGGAAGAAAAAAACTAACATCCAAAGAAGAAATAGGAGGAAGAGGTGAGGATGAAATAGGAGGATAACATAATCATAACAATCAGAAACAACATGATCCAAATTGAATGTGGATTTGCATGTGCCTATCCAAGTGTACAGTCAAGTGTAGGCCTATGTGTATGTTTATGATCAAGTGTATCTGTATCTGTATATCCAAATATATGTGAATGTAATTGGATGTGTATGTTTGTGTATGTCCAAGCATATGTGTACATTTGAGTATATGTGTATGTGAATCAGTATATCCAAATGTATGTTTATGTGTATGTTTGAGTGTATGTGTATGTATATGTATATGTGCATGTGTATGTTTATGTGTACTACAAAGTGTATGTGCGTGTGTATGCCCAAGTGTATGCTTATATGCATGTCTAAGTGTACAGGTATGTATGTGTATGATCAAGGGTATGTACATTTGTTTCCAAATGTATGTGTATGTGTATAACCATGTATAAGTCTATGTGTATATCAAATTGTATGTGCATGTGTACATCCAAATAAATGTGCATGTGTACATCCAAATGTATGTGCATGTGTACATCCAAATGTATGTGCATGTGTACATCCAAATGTAAGTGCATGTGTACATCCAAATGTAAGTGCATGTGTACATCCAAATGTATGTGCATGTGTACATCCAAATGTAAGTGCATGTGTACATCCAAATGTAAGTGCATGTGTACATCCAAATGTATGTGCATGTGTACATCCAAATGTAAGTGCATGTGTACATCCAAATGTATGTGCATGTGTACATCCAAATGTAAGTGCATGTGTACATCCAAATGTATGTGCATGTGTA